TATTGTCTGTGCTCTTAGGGCACAGAGATGGACTTTGTGTTGTCTATTGTCTGTGCTCTGAGGGCACAGAGATGGATTGTGTGTTGTCTATTGTCTGTGCTCTTAGGGCACAGAGATGGACTTTGTGTTGTCTATTGTCTGTGCTCTGAGGGCACAGAGATGGACTGTGTGTTGTCTATTGTCGGTGCTTTGAGGGCACAGAGATGGACTGTGTGTTGTCTATTGTCTGTGCTTTGAGGGCACAGAGATGGACTGTGTGTTGTCTATTGTCTGTGCTCTTAGGGCACAGAGATGGACTTTGTGTTGTCTATTGTCTGTGCTCTGAGGGCACAGAGATGGACTGTGTGTTGTCTATTGTCTGTGCTTTGAGGCCACAGAGATGGATTGTATGTTGTATTTTGTCTGTGCTTTGAAGACATAGAGATGGACCATGTTCTATTTATCATCTGTGCTTTGAGGACACAGAGATGGACTGTGTGTTATCTTTTGTTTGTGTTTTGAGAACACCGAGAACGACTGTGCATGATCTGTCGCCTCTGGTTTGAGGACACAGAGTGCGCTCTGTGCACCTGCCCCTTACCTATGTTGTGAGAGCCAGGCTGGTTGGGAGGTTGTTGCACTTTAGTCCGGATGATCCTACAGGGTGAGACAGAGGGACACCGGTGATCTCACTGTGCCTCAAGGAGGCAGGAGATGTGGAAATACTTGTCGTTGACAACCATCTCCATTCATTCTGCAATTACACCTGCAGTGAGTATGTTGGTTCAGAACTACAGAAATGAATGTTGCCAGTTCAAATCACGCGTCTGGCCCTTGAGTAAGACGTACTGCACCGGCTGGGCCCGCTTTCTCAATCGTGTGTTGCTTTGGATAAAAGAATCTGCTCAATAATTAAATGTAATGTTGTAATGAGGGTGTGTATGGCATGTATGTGTGAGTCTAAACCGGAAAACCGGAAAACACAAATAAATTCATAACAGAACAGAAAAGTACAGCTAGAGTTGTGCTGGACGCTGGGACTGAAAGGCGTGGCATACCTGTTGATGGAGCTGACACTGGGCACCGTGTCGTTGTCACACACTCTCTCGGCCAGCAGCCTGTCCCTGATCTCCCATGCAAACATGGTGGGGTTCTGCCGCTTGTAGTCCGCGATTTTGTCCACGACTTTGGGTGTGGCCACCTTCGGTTTGGACCCGCCGATGACCCCCGGACGGATGCTGCCAGTCTCATAGTATCTGCAGTGGTGTGATGGGAAGATGGGGATAAGACTGGCTAAAGAACTGGATCTGCTGGACTCGTTCTCATGACTGGACACACATGGTCATATTCTAGAACTTGGGATGCTGTGACTTTCTGTCCTCATCTGGAGATCACATCCTGGCCAGGTGGTGAAGTGAGTATAATTACTTGTAAAACACTCCTTAAGCAAAACAAAACTGCCAGGACTGAGGGGGATTCCCGGTCCCAGCATCTGCGAGGGCCAGGAAGGAACGAAAGCAGCAGATGGTTACTCAATGGAGGCCGACCTCGGGACAAGGATGCCAGGGCTCAGGGTACGACGGCCCTCCCCCGCCAGCCCCACCTCAGTGCCTGTCGCACTGCTGAACCCCTGGCTGCAAGCCCGACCAGAGCCCACACACAACAGCAGTCACATAAACCACCTAGCAAGCACACACATGTACAAGCCCTGGCATCCGCAAATCAAACTCACTGACACACACAATCCGGGACAATAACAGAACAGTTACACACACTGGCTCCCTGAGACAACCAAACATCCTCGTTCACATCCCTCGACACAAAAGCATATTTAACCAGCTGAGCTAATACGAATTTCAGCATTGCCACTCAGCCTCTGAAAGGCCCAATGTTCCCGGATTTGCGCCAATGTCCAGGAGCAACTAAAAATGAACCCGCAGAAAGCCATTACTAGCTGCTCCCAGATCTGAGAAGGACAGTCCAGTCAACATCGGAAGTGATTCTGTAGATTCTAAGCCAGAGATCTAGATATGGAGCATAAAGTCAGAATGGGGAGTTTTTTTTCCCCTTTTCAGGTTTTAAAAGTGCCCATGCTCCCAGTAATAAAAAAGTGATGACCTTATGCTAAACTGTGCCCCGCAGCGGAAATATTTAATTTTGCGTTCAGCGATTTATCGTGACTGTGGCTCGGCGGCCAGGCTCCGCTTTTATGCCGTCTGATCGGCCCGGTGGCGGATTCAAGCAGCCATCCTGCTTCGCGCTCCCATCAGGGGCAATTGTGAGGGTGTTCAGCGTAGATATGAGGGTATATCCTGCGAGCGGCGTGGAGGCGAGCGAGGTGTCACCTGCCCAGGATCTTGCTGACGCAGCCGTGGCTGACGCGGAGCTGCCGCGAGATGTCGCAGGGTCGCACGCCCTGGTGTGCCAGCTCCACGATGCGCTGGCGCACCACATCTGGCAGGGGGCGCCCATTCACAAACACCCCGCCCAGCTGGTTCACCCCGCCATGTCCTGCGGGAAAGCGGAGGCATGATGTGAGTACCCCATTCAAACCAACATCCTCGTGCTTTTGCACTTTCGAGACGCTAACTTTTAATAAACTAATAACCAAACCCCCTGTTAAAATAATACAATTCATAATTATTCAGAAGTACTTAGCAAGGCTATCAACAATGCCTTTTTGTGACAATTAATTTGATAAACCCCAACTATGGTATTGCATTATGCAAATATGCCAATAATTGCTTTGCAATTAATAAGGCGCCTTTTGTTAACTGATCAGAGATAGACGAAGGAGCGGAGGGACACCTGTGTTTTTTTCTCCTGCTCAAGACAACGCACAGAATAACAATCGAACATCGCTGTCCCTGGAGATCAAACCATTTCACTCCAGTTGCACCTCAGTCTCCGGTGCTGGTGATTGAATTTCATGTGGATAAGTACTGCCCCTAGTGGTCATATCTGACATAGCCATTGTCCCGCCTGGCAATTGTAGATTATGACCAACCACAGGATGATTACAGTGATATCAACAAACACACTTTTTAAAAAAACATTTTTAGATAGCCAAATTCAAGTACTTTAAAATTCAAATGTGCTAAAATGACTCACATGTAGATTATGAGACACAATACAAAGGCGAGCTACACATTGTTCATGCTATTTTAATTTAGCCCCCTATGCAAATGTTTGTTGGCGCCCAGATTACCTACAACACTGACACGCTAGCAGAGTTCATTGAAGAAAAGGTCAAACAGCAGATTCCAGAGTTTAGTCATAGGCACAGTAAATAGTAAGCTTTACTATGCAATGGATATCTTACTACGCAGGTCATTCTGGCCTCCAGCAAACACAAATTAAGCCCAAGACACAAATACAAACTAAGGAGCCTCAAAGACAAAAAAATATGCAAATGGGTATGATACAGTGCAATGTAAAATCAACATTCAGTGCCAAGTAATCACGTAAACACAAAATGGAAGTGTTGCGAGTGTTAAATATGATTTTACCATATCTACACCAATTTTACACTTTACCTATTTGCACGCCAATGTGGATAATACCAATCCTGCATACAATAAAGAAGTACATAGACACTAAAATGCACAAATAGAAAATAAAATGATACTCAGTCGTTCTCTTATCATGTAAATACTTAAGCCTTATGGTGCTTTTAGCATGGTTTTATATGGTGATATGGGATTCGAAGAAAGCTCAGCTCCTCTTAGCTGAAGAGCTACTTCTATGCTTGAGGTAAGGAAGAGGTCACACAAACAGGGCTCACGCACACGCCGTGGGGAGGGCACAGGCAGACATCAATTTCTCCAGCAGAAACAACCACTTAAGAGACTTAGGAGGGTGCAGCTGTTAACGCCTTCAGGGCTGATGACATAGGCACGCTGGGGGGGGGGGGGGGGGGCAACAGAAGAGTAATACGCCTGGCCCTCTGGACCACAGACCTTCAGCAATGTGACATTCAAGACCCCAGAATCATAAACCACAGAATTAACTTTTATTGCATTTACATGCAGTATCTAATCTGATTCCTTATAGAAACAACTTCGCAAAATCTGTCTTTTTGTGCTGTGAGTAGAACCGCAAAAGCATCTTTTGTTTGATGTTCTGCAGAGATGAGCGGACATTTTTGGTAAACTTGCTAAAGCACTTAGAAAACTCTAACTCATTCAGTCTATCCCCAATAACTATCTACTACTGGCTTGTGAGCAAATCAGAGTGTAAACTGGATTTTTAAACGGTTTCATTGCGTTTCCGGGTTGGCTCGTTTCAAAGTTTCAAAAAATTTGCGCGGTTCTGACCATTACAGCTATCCAGCTACTAGGTTAATAAAGCAGACGCTTAATGTAAATTTCTTTAAATAAATCTTGAAAATAGACTTACTGAGGTCATCACAGAGAATTACGGTTAAATAAATAAACTGTTGGAGGCGAGCCGTATGTCCTTAGTGGAAGACAGAAAGTGGCAGAACATCTGGATGCGGAAGTTTTGCCCCATTGGTTGTAAAGCTGATCTGCGGACCATGACATTCTGTTATTATACAGAAAAACACGGTTATTCATAAATGCAAAGCTTAAGAAAACATTTGTGAGTTTTCCCACTCAGATGTTAGGCTATGCCTCATCTCAGCTGTTATGTATCTGCTGTGCGTTTTGTTTAATACTCAGAGACTACTACATAGGCTATAATTAAAATATGGTATCCGGAATTGTAACCCACGGCAGCCACTTGCCTAAAATTACCATTTGTGCTTATAAAATTGTTCAAGCAAGCCGTTTTATTTTGCCTTAACAAATCCCTAAGTTTGGTGGCGTGCCCGGAAGATTCACGCCAGATAAACATTTCCATCTATGCGGGAAATGATATTATCGTTTCCCCTTTTTGGTTTTAAATTTCAATCGAGTGTGGAAAATGCGGGTCAGAGGGAAGTTTCATAGTTTGCTTAAGTACGCCTGACACGATATTATGATGCTCAGCAGTGGCGTGCACAGACATTTTGGGGGGCAAGTGCTCCAGGGGGAAAAAAGGGCACTTTTTGCATATGTGGAAAACCTTTTCTTTTTATAATAAAAAAAACGCACAGGTTAAATGCAATTTGACTTTTATTTCAAAACATTCTCTAAAAATCAAAAATCACACCTACTAAAGACAGTCAAAGACATTAATTTCAATCTTACCAAAGTAGGACAGTAGTTGACGTTAGTTATGGAAAGGCTAATCCACAAAAACGGAGAAACGTCCATAATTCTATTATTCATAATCATGTCAAGGTTTTAGGTTTTTCTGCAGTTCCATCTCTAAAAAGTGTGATGTCTTCCCGTCACTGACTTCAGTTTGAAAACTTTGTATTTATTCACAGATTTCCGTGAGATCATCCTAAAATTTGTAACGAAAAATGGGCTCAAAAGAGCCCTCTGCCTAACGGCATGTAGCCTATAGCATAACGTGATATTTTCAATAGTGTATGCAAAAAGGTCGGAATTGATGGAGAGTGGGGTTGCCTAAATGGTTTAGGTTACATTTTAAATGTGTCGTTTTTTTGTTTATCCATATGGATGGATGGAGGGGGCAAGCTGGCAAAGTTTGTCATGTGCAGTTTCTGACAGGCTACTTCACAACAAAACAATTGCAGGTTGGTCTTAGAGGGCAAACAGAATAATTTCACTCGATTCATGGGTTACCTGACTGGTTGGGAAGGGAAAGAGCTGCCGTGTTGTCCGCCGTGGCTCCCAGTCGCTATAATTAGCCTACTATGCCTACTCCAAGTAGTCCTATGTCATGCCGCTGCTACACGCCTCACAACAAATGAACTGCAAGCGTGTTCACGTGACACGGTGACAGTGAAAAAGCGACAGGGTTCGGGTGTCTTTGAAGAAGGGGCACAAATCAAGCCATTATTTTCACACCTTTTTAAATCGCGCAGCTTTAAAAAAAAAAAAATATCACGTCTTTCAAAAGGGCACTTTTTTGGACTGAGGGCAAAAGGGCAAGTGCTTCAGCACCACCTCGTCTCTATCTGTGCACGCCAGTGATGCTCAGTGTCTGCAGAGTCAGTGCACCGTATAGCAAATCGTAAACGCTACGCCAGGAGGCGAAAATAACAGATAGAGTAAGTTAATGACAGGTAATGAAGTACCGCAATGTAAACGGAAGGACGACGAGTTTGCACCGGCGCTGTCAAGACTCAACATGAATAACAAGCGCCAAGCAACCAAGAAAAACTTTTTCTACAACTTTCTCCCACTTCATAACCATGTCGACATAAAAAGGCCTATGTCGTGCCAGGCAAGGCTGCACCTTTTATCTAGCCATGTTTTGATGTAAAACTGAAATAAAAAACAAAAATGTACAAAAACTTTACATTTAAATTTTTACATCCTAAGTAGTAAAATTACAGCCGCAACAACATCAAGAATAAGAATAATGTAACCTAGGGATGCCAGAGATACGGCAGCAATACAATCGAGAGCATAATAAGCATTTAAAAGATGGATGGTTGGATGGATGGAATGGATGGATGAAAGGACAGATAATAACATATCCTGTCGTATTAAAATCAATCGTTTTTTCCTTCCTCTGCAAGCAAATAACCAAATAACAAATATTGGCACAAAAATAATGCTTTAATTATTTAAAAAGTTGGAGTTTCATTTAGACGGGGGTCAATCAGCCTCGCCGCAACGCAGTATAACGAGATCCCGCGTGACTGTAAAGTAGGGCTTGCGTTTGCTGTCTGGAAAAACATGGAAAAATTAACATCATTTTCGAAATACCAGTATCGACGTACTGGCTAAAAATACGACGCACTAAGCAAGCGGGAGTCATTCACTTTTGCTTTTAAAAAGCGGGGGAAATTGTCTGTCTTAGGCCTACTTAATTGGATATAAACAATTTTATAATTAATAATAAAACTTGATATTCCAGAATTTCTGATAAAACGGAAATTTTAAGTGTTTTATATGGAATGTTTCGGGAAGAAATTATTTTTCACCTATGCAATTTATACATTTTAAAATAGTCTATTAACATAGTCAAACGTAAAAATCTACTGTCCGGTTCCGGAACTAATTTTAAATTACCCACTAACCCCTAACCCTAACCTCTAAACGATAAATTAATCTGCCGTAGATCCAATAAGAATATAGACCTTCTTCGATCCAGGTTATGAATTACTTAGTATTCACAGGAATTATACGTTATAATATTGATTTATTTTAAATTATAGACATTTAATGTTTCTTACGTGAAAGTGAAACATTCACCACATATAAGAGACCCAGGCACGCCGCTCAGTTTCCAGCGCAAATCAAGCGTGTAGTTTTGCGTCACATTGAATAAGAGTGACAGGTCTTTCCAATCTGTTGATAAATTTACTGTTTCAAAAGGCCTGTTATCACTATTCGTTGTTTTGCTCTTTCCAGCTTTACCACAGCCGACCTGAGAGCTCAGGAAGGAATGGGATTATTGACAGCATTTTAAAACCCTCCATGTCCAAT